CTTCGCGATCCGATTCGAAGTAAGTCTTGAGATTTGTCATAATAATCGCGACAGTTTGCCGGGCGCTGTGTTAGCGAATGGTATTGAGAATAACAAATCGATTTATCTAATCCCAGGATTCCAAGCGCATACATCGTCGAGATATTCACGCACGCGTAGTTCGGACGATCTTGCCGTCGAGCGAGAATTCTCCCTGTGTGAACGGTCGCAAACAAAATTGATCTTTGCATCGCGATCCAAATCGCAACGATTGTTATGTGTAAAAGGGCATATTCAAGGGAAATTCCATCCCTTGTAATAAGTTCATAAAAAGCAGACAAACAATATACATGTACACAGAATGGCAAAAGTTTGAAATAATTCAGGCCAATATTCAAGTGACTCGGTAACATTGTTGAATTAGGCTAACAAAAAAACGTGCAATTTTTGTTTGAAATGTTACTTATTATATTCCTTCTACCGTACTAACCCTCTAATATGCAAAATATCCTGAACAAAATTATCGAACCACAAAGATATTTATGTTTTTTCTTTGAAGGCGCGTTTATATGTGCGACACCCTGTAACAGTAAATTCTCCTAACCAATTTTTCAATTTTCCTAACTGTTTTTCCATGAAAATGAGACGTAAAACAGACTTTAAAAAATCTGTCAACATTAATGTCTGGAATGGTATAAAGAGCCAATTCATTGTTTTGTGACTTTGTATAATAAATAATCTGTTTTCATTCAAACTTTCAGATTATATTTGATTGTACATCTTGCATTAATTCACTACCTTAACACCATTTTCTCTTTACTTAACAATGTTACCAAGTCCCTTTAAGAAAAGTATGAAGGTTAGTAATACGAGATCACTAAGTCTATGCGAATCTCAGTTGGCTATTAAGGTTGGATTTCTCTTTAAAATTATGGATATCTGTTTTTGAAATATAATTACATTACATTGACGCATATCATTCTGTTCTTTGATTATTGTACATTATCACAACGACAATTTCTGATTTTGGAATACTATAAGAAATTACGATGACGTTGGCGTTAATTAGTTATTACAATCGATTTCATTATACAACAAAAGAAAGTACAATAATATTGGACATAACATGAATTATAGCAACAATAAGAGAACGAATTTCTGATCATTCAAACTGTACCCCCAAAATATGTTACATTGTTACAATATCAAATTTTCAGAAATGTCAGAATATTATTATCTTCAGAATATATGAGGAAAAAATCTTGCATAATAATGGGTAATTTCAAAATAAACCTCATTAAAGAAGAAGATTTTTTCTGTCAGGATTTCTTAATAGACACTATGCTTTCACACTCAAGTATTCCTTTAATAAACAAACCTACACACATTACGAATTCTTCAGCAACGCTTATAGACAACATGGTTTTAAATCATCAAACAGTATTGCCGTTTAAAAACACCCAAATGGCTTAAAGGTAAAGACCAGTTATGGTCATGCGATTGCATTGTGAAAGAAACGTTGTGGAATCGATCAGAAAAGGTTGATCATCTAACATCTAGCATCTCCAAGGTTCTGGAATCATCAAAATGATAAGAAATTTGGCCCATTCTTCGTAAAGTTACAAGCACTATACACAGAAAGATGTATATGGGACTACCCTATATCTCTCACAGAACATGAGAGAAACAAATGTACCAAATATATGAATTAGTAGGCGGTTTCCCGGCAAATTTTTTATCATCATGTATTAGTCAAAACATATTCTTTCACATGATTGGTAATGAGAGCTTCCATTTTATTTTTTGAAATTGGGGCGTTTCCAATACTGGTCTTTACCTTTAACAATAATTTCGTCTTATTATATTTGGTCTAATGACCATTTGGTCTACTCTCCAATTAATCCACTACCCATATTGTCAATTGTTTATTGAGTCCAATGACCAGTTAGTCTAATTCCCAGTTTGTCTAACTCCTATTTCGTATGCTATCCATAATAATCATTTATTGATAACCCCTATTTATGATTAAATAGTTATTAGACCATATGGATAGTAGACAAAAAGAACATTATTTAGACGAACTGGGAAATAGACGTCTATTTCCCAGTTTGTCTTCAGACCGACTGGAAATTGGACTAAATAAACAATACACCAAATGGGTAGTACTAGTAGACTTATTGGAGATTAGACAAAATGTAAATAAAACCAAATTAATATTAGCCTAAATGGTCATTAGACTAAAATAATGATAAGTAGACGAAATGATTATTAAACCAAGTGGATAGTAGACTTGCTAGGTGTAGGCCACTTGGGAATAAAATTATTGGGAATAAGACGAACTGGTTGGGGACCAAACGGCAATATATGGGCGTCGACATAGTTCACTGCGACGTGTGACGTCCGTTTAAGGCACTGATAGTCATAGGGCCTTAAAAAGACGTCATAAGTAGCAGTAACAGACCACGAGACCTACCATCCCTTGAATAATATTCTCTGGAAACACCCCACCCCCCCCCCCCCCCCCCCATGCTCATTAGCAACTCAAGTAAAGAAAACAACATCCTCAATATTCTGGCGCCGATTCATTGAAAGAATAACATGCCGCCGTTACACTGTCATCCAAACACGCCAAAAAATGCCAAACCGGAGCCTGGCCGCGATGTTACCAAGGGCAACTACGCTTTACCGGCAGACATGCCAAGCCCCAAACATTCCAAAACGAAGTGTGATCTTTTGGCGTGTTTTGGCGTGTTTTGGCGTGTTTGGCAAGTATAACCGCTCGCAGTTGTAACATCGCGATGTTAGGCACGTGTCTTCCGGCACTTCCGGATTGTTACCCGCGCTCTTTTAAACCACGTTCTTCCCGTGTGATATTTATAGCATTTCCATCGTCGCGCGTGTTATCCGTTCATTCAGCTCCGTTTGTTCCAATTCCGTTAACTCATCCTTTATTCAATCTTCGTTATTCCCGTCTGGCCATATCTGTCTAGTAGTAGTATTTGAGTGTTTTGTTAGATTAATTAATTAATCGACGTCGGCGAATTCTCATAATTCCAATTAACAACGATGATTTTCTTAACCTTCCCATATCGTTTTTACTACTAGATTTCGATTGAATTTGGGAAAACTGAATCAGCAGCCGTAGTCCGTACTTCGTAACTTATCCACTCTTGCCTCAAATACTACACGCGAGATAAACAAAACATATCGCATGCATGCGCATGGGATGAATCGCTATTTAGCTAGCTATAGCGCTAGCTGGAAATTGCGCGCGCTAAAAATCTTATAGCAGGCCGGGGTCAAAGGTCGGGAAGACTGCACATGCGCATTACCAACCGAAACACGCCAAAACATCGCTGAACAGCTCCGTCGGTGATGTTTCAGCACAAGTGTAACCGGGTGCACGAAACATCGCGACTTTTCAAAATGAGGTATTTGACAGTATAAATGCGCCTACTGTGTAGAATAGACATACGATAGGGAGAAGAATAGTTTATGAAATTAAAACAACAATAGGAAGGTAGTGCACGTATCGACTGAATTCAGCCTAGTCACGTTCGTAATATTACTCTCTCTCTCTCTCTCTCTCTCTCTTTATACATGTATGTGTAGTATCTCTCTCTCTCTCTCACTCTCTCTCTCTCTCTCTCTCTCTCTATATATATATATATATTATTATCTCTAACTCTCTCTCTCTCACTCTCTCTCTATATATAATATGTGTGTGTATTATCTCTCATTCTCTCTCTCTCTCTCTCTCTCTTCCTCTCTATCTCCATATATTTATGTATTACCTCTCATTCTCTCTCTCTATCTTTCTCTCACTATCTCCCTCTCTCCCAACCCCATTCTGCCCATCCTTCCAACCTCTCTCTTTCTCTCTCTCTCTCACCATCCCTCCCCCTCACACCCTCTCTCCCTTCCATTATCTCTAAATGTATATTCATCTTTATATTAATCGCCCTCTCTCACATATTGCGTAGTTGAGTTCTGGTCATGCAGTTGCATTGTGAAAGAAACAATGTGGAATCGATCAGAAAAGGTTGATCATCTAGTGTATTGGTGTGTACTTGCAAGGTTCTGGAATCATCATAAGAAATTTGGCCCAGTATTGGTAAAGTTACAAGCACTGTACACAGAAAGATGTAATGATGGGGCTACACGAACATGTGGAATAAAAATCCGTCTCGATTTTTATGTTACATGCCATATTAAAAATATGAAAGCATTGAAAAGCCATGTTTTTTCAGGAAACATATGTTATCTGATGTTCTTCCACACTTCAATAATAACAATGATAACGCTCACAAATTATTGTTCACCTCTTCCCAGAACTCAACCTTCTCTTTAAAGGATGTCAATTAGCTCTATTTTCATTCACTTCATAAATACAAGTAGGTCAATACTTCAAGGACGTAATAACAATAGAGGGAATTCGAATACTTTGAGTTTTTTATGGGCGTCACACCTACGGAAAAAAGTGAGATTAAAAGTCATTTCTTGTAGTTGGCGTGTTTCACTAATCTTCGCGATTCGCATCGCAAACCAATTCGCCGTAAGTCTTGCGATTTTTCAGAATAATCGCGATAGCTTGCCGGGCGCTGTGTGTGCGAATGGTAATGAGAATCACAAATCGATGTATTTAATCCCAGGATTCCAAGCGCGCAATATACGTCGTCGAGATTCACGCAAACTTAGTTCGAACGTTCTTGCCGTCAACCGAGAACTCTCCCTTTGTGTGAATGATCGCCAACAAAAAATCAATCTAAATGCATCGTGATTCAAATCGCCGCGGGCTAATTGTTATGTGTGAACGGGTCTAACATCTTTTAGAGTTCACCTTCTTCTCTGTGTGTTTGTATTGTTACGCAGTGGTATTTCTATTCATTGTTAGCCGTTATTGGCAATCTTTTCCCAATTTCTATTATTTAAAAAAACGAGGGCGGGGCGGGGCGGGATGGTATTGTCAGTATCAAGGCTGAGGTGGTGTCGAAACTCCGTTTCTCAGTGTTCCCGTTCTACTTCCAGGAGTCAAGTCATTCCCGAGCAGTCTTTATATTTCTCCTGGAGGAGTCAATGGATCTCTTAACCATGAAGACGTTCTCCACCATCATCGTTGCGACCTCAATAATGGTCGCAATGGTACATGGCCAGATTGTGTCACAACCGATGCAGGACTTTTTGGGGCATACCGAGAAGCCAGGAGAGATCATCCCTGGCACTAATCTCACGATCTCGTTCATTATTAACGCCGCTGGTGGTATATGGCAGCAGGGGCGTGCCATTGATTCGATTGCCTATGCTTGCAAGCATATCCTACCGTATCTAGGTTCGAAAATACCAGTGGTAGACCAGACAAGTCTGTATTGGGGTTTCCTATGCGATGAAGCCGTCAAAGCTTCCAATGACCTGGATGCCTTTGACGCGATTGGACTGTGTGACACGTTAACTTCAATGTTTACAGGCTTAACATCTGAAAACGAAACTCTTGAGATAAATCCAGATCCTCCCCAGGGTGGCGATCCTTTCAATATCCTGCAAATCCTGACCAACATCACCAAAGACCTCTATGGAATCGACATCAACATGATCATCAACGACCCATCTACAATCAGCACCATCTGCACCAACGTCAAGGAGAATTTCCTGAGACCATCTCTGCCAGGTATCATCTCTCAGTTCGGGGTTGAGATGATGGGCGCTTTGTTTCCTGAATTACTGGTTCCGATCTGCCAAGACTGGGAATCGTTCCTGCAGTTTCTCGGGATAGAAGACTCCGCCTCTCCCTATTATCCAATCATCCAGCAGGCTGCTCTCACCGCGTCGGAAGCGGTCGGATATGGCAGCAGAGAGAATCTTTGTCTTGCTATAATAGAGCAGGATACGTCACTACAAGGTTAGTTGTTTGTTAAAAGAAGAAAGATATAAATGCAGAATTGAAGGTTTCAACTGTCTGAATCACAGTACCAAAGTTGCTCGGAAAATTAGATCTAGACTTTAATGTGTGTTACCTGTATGCAATAAGCATGTAAGATGTGGTGATTCTTTCCCCTGAAATCTTCTTCGATATTTGTTGTGCTTTTTTGTGGCTGGTTGGAACTTATCTTTAATCGAGAACAAAGTTTAATAGGTTGAAGTACCATCAGATATCATTATCGTAAGGTAATGGCATAGATATGTTGTAGCAACGCTAGTATATCCATTGTATTACTATTAGTGATATTCATTATAAGATTTGGCGGACATCATTGTGTATTACATGCATTTTACTCGAGTAAATAAGGCATACAGTATACTCTAGCCAATAAGAGTGCATATAGTTGCCGCATTATCATGCTGACGTAAGGGTGTACAAGATGCGATTATAAGCCATCTCTTTTAAAGAATGCTAGTCTTGAGCTCCGGTATGGAAATCGTATTTTGAGAGGAGTTTGCTTTGATTTATTCTGATTTGTTACCCTGCAGCTAGTAGATTGGTTGTTTGAACCAGTTAAATAAATGAAACGCACAAAGACTTACTGGGCATCATCTTCGATAAAAACCACAAATCCAATTTGCACATAGTGACCTGTGTTTAATAAGCACATGGTGTCGGGCCTACTTACTCGGATTTCCTTATACACTCTTCAAAAAATGTTTTGCACATGTCATTTATTTTTAATCTTTAACATTTAGTGTAAGTTTCGTCGGATTCTTTGTGAATTAATATTCTGTATTTACAAGAACTCAAGTTTTTGTTTAAACTATACCAATTACCAAACTACTAATGCGCTCTGAATGTTAGGAGTTCCAACTCGCTATTGCATTCTGAAAGTAGGAGCTTCAAATATTACTTCTCTATGTAGTAGACCAGCAAAACATTTAAACGAGGCTCTGAAAAAAATTCCATGGCATTAGGGGGTAATACATGGCATCCATGCTAAAACTCTTGCAAAAATATAAAGGAATAAGATACGGGTGGATGCCACGCGCATTAATTTTTTACTAGGCCTATGTAAAAAATCATGAATTTTAATTTTTGACCAAATATGTATTATCTGCAAAAGACCTTTCAATTGATATAAATAGATGCTTTTATTGATCCATATTCAAAACATAGAACATTGGCCTCCACTGGCAGCACATAAATAAAATACAATGTAGTAACAAGATAAGTGATAAACACTTTAGTATATACGTCACATAATGTACACAAATTCACACAAAAGTCGTGACATTCAAAAACAGCATACATATACATGTATTACGTAGAAATAGGGAAAATCTAAGAAAGTAGTCGACATTTAAAGATAGAGAAGATAGAAAGAGGTCGAAAGGAAACTAGACTGAAGAGCGGAATAGTAAGAGAGAGAGAGAGAGAGAGAGAGAGAGGGGGGAGGGAGAAATAGAGAGAGGGGAGAGAGATAGGAACAAAAGGTGGACACCGTGGAGGAGGGATCAAAATAACACTGAGTTCTAATACGAAATATGTTTATTCACATTGTCATATCTGTAGATTATGATGACGTGTTTGATCTTGTTTTCAATAACAAGATCAAACACATGATACAAATCTACTGGGTGCATTAGTGCTATAATAATAATAATAATAATAATAATAATGGGTGAACCCCCCCCCCCCCCCCCCCTCCCCTCCTCCTCCTCCTCACTGAGCGAAATATTGGTCTACGCGATTTTCCCATTTCCGGGGGCAAAAAATATAAACAATTATTGCTCACTACCCCCCCCCCCCCCCTCCCCCTCCTCCCTTCCACTTAGCGAAATATCAGTAGGCGCGATTTTAGATTTTAGATTTTCAAACACCCTCCTTGAAAAAATCCTGCGTACGCCACTGTCCATGCCATTCAAACATCATCTAGTAGCTTCCTTCCCTTATAAACCAGTCATCTTCATTGGAATTGACATCCTGAAGTCCATGAAGATAGACACCTCTCTTGCATTGTAGATGGAAATGGCACCCTCAAATTTTACCCACTGAAAGCTCACACTAACCTGTAACCAAAACCATCCAGAAATGATGACCTTAGTCAAAAGATAATTCATTAGTAATCACTAATCAAGTGTGGATTTTAATTCATTTGAGCTCCCGATTGTGAGGGTTTACAGAAACAGGGGAGGGGGCAGCTTGAGGCGTGGAACTATGAGGACCAGTGAGGTTCTTTTCAGACAAAGTTCCTTATAAAATTAACAAGCTGAAACCTACCCTAATACCAGTTAATACCATGATTGATTTGCTCAATCATGACTGGTTGTGTTGTGTGCAGAAGTTCTACAATCCATTGATTGAGTATGTATATTATGAGTACCGGTAGTCCAAATCAGGAGGGTAACAAACTCCTTCTTTATCTTGATTACTAAAGAGCCTTTGTGGTTAGAGATGAACTTGGGAGAGGTACCCATGTTGTTTTGCCGTCACATGCTCCTTATGCTGACTGCTCCTCCTCAGCAACTACTACAGACAAGTCCACTTGTATCAATGTTGCCAATTCTGATAAGCCAACTAATCATGTATAAAATGTTAATTGAAAGAAGAAAAAATAATTCAATATTATAAAAGCACTGTAAGATCTAAAGCTGATATCACAAATATATATCTTTTCCTTTTCTTCTTGATGTTGTTTTTTTTCTTCAAGTAATCTTCAAAGGGCTATTAGTTTTTTTAAAAATTACTATTTGCTCGACAAGAGTACATTCTTTATTTTTCATGCTTATTAGCCCAACGACAGATCCCGAATCAAAATAGTACATCATGGTCTGAAATAAAATGCCATATTTCCAAACATGCTTTTTATTACCGATATACTTTCTGTCTGAATAAAAGATCTAAATAAACATACAGACCATTTTTTAAGAATAGCATTCATAGAAATGTCATAGAATATAATCCAAATCAATTTGAATTCCTTTATCTGTGGGGTCAACAATTTTCAAGCTCTGCTTTTCAGTGGACCTCTCCATTTCCTCAAAATATCAATGCAGTTAAATTTAACAATTCAATTTTTGTCTTCCTCAAATACATCTTAATTAAACATATGATGTATGTTGGTGTATGCCACAGATATAACAGCAAAGATCAGATCAGAAAATGTGATGGATAAATTTTCCAAAATAAATTGATGTCTTTTTACAGGATGCAATATTTGAGTAAAGACACACTGTACATAACCCGATTGTGGCATACAGATGTATGTGTGATATGTCTTTGTGATGCCACCAGGCGCGTACAAAGGGGGGATGGGAATATTTTTTTTTTTAATAAAAAAAAAAAAAATCCAAAAGGGGGGGGGGGGTTAAACCCCCCCCCCTTTGTTATTTTTGTGTGTGTAACCCCCCCCCCCCTAAATTTCCCTAAGACCCCCCCCCCCTTTTGGATTTTTTTTTTTTTATTAAAAAAAAAAATATTCCCATGGCTGACCTCAAAAAGATGACCTTTGTTATTTTTGTGTGTGTAACCCCCCCCCCCCTAAATTTCCCTAAGACCCCCCCCCCCTTTTGGATTTTTTTTTTTTTATTAAAAAAAAAAAATATTCCCATGGCTGACCTCAAAAAGATGACCTTACCCCCCCCCCCCCCCCCCCCCAACGAGCAAAATGTCAATTTTTCAAATTTCGATACCAAAAAAAAAAAAAAGTGTCCTCTTACCCCCCCCCCCCCCCCCCCCCGCTTATTCAGCGGCTGGCTGAGTCGTTGCGAAATTTTCGGCCCGATTTATAAATGTTAACCCCCCCCCCCCCCCCCCTTGAAAAAATCCTGCGTACGCGCCTGGGTGCCACAATGGAACAATAAACAATAACAGTTGATATAAATACATCAGCGTGAACAGAACGTATACATGAACACAAATGGTGTCCATTATCCTTATTAAATATTCACGACAAGAAACTATAGATATGATGTTTTCATTACTTTATTTGCCTTACCTTGAAAACTAGGATAGGTCAATATCACACGAAAAAAACACGATGTAATGATAATAATAATACTCTGCATTCATAGGGGCTGGTACACCTGCGCTATTGATCAGTCGATATACTTGTTCCCGACGCTTGCCTTGCAAAATAAGCAGAAAAGGTGTGAGAATTGTGATCACATGACTGAAATTGTATTTACTTTAGCCTAGGTGTAGCCACATCAGGATTGATAATGCTGTTCCTGTGGGCCCTGCAAGAGAGGGAATATGTAGGCAAAAAGAGATGTAAGCAGTAGCACTGATACACACTAAGAAATAAAGGTACAATTCTGCTACAATGGCAGCACCATCTGCCCAATTCGCATACGGGTGGATGCAAATCTGCACTCTATTAAAATCCAAGAGTCCTTATCAATATACCAAAGTGCTCTTTAATGTTATTTGGATATTCAGAAGCTGATGAATAAAGTGTTTTCAACCTAAGAACATCAACATCCTGTTCAAACTTCATAGGGAAGAAATCATTTGTTGTTATGTTCCAAACTTGTGTTAGGAGGATTGAGCATAGAGGGAGAGAAAAGTACATATTCTCACGATTTAAACGACCATGTATAGTCAGGCTTTTCTGTCCATTTAAAACAATTGTTCAATCACTTACATACTTGTTTTCGTTCAATTGCGTCCCGAAACTCCCTAATCTTGCAAATGTCATAGTCAATTTCGGTTTTTGAAATTCATATTTTTGATATTACTTTGTCCAATAAATTTCATAATTTCGCATTCGATTTCATCAAGGTCAAATAAAGTTTGTCATACTCAACTGGCATGATCATTCTTCTTTTCCCCTCATACCTCTCCTCTCTCTCTCTCTCTCTCTCTCCCACCCTCCCTCTCTCTCTCTCTCTCTTCTTCCTCTCTCTCTCTCTCTCTCTCTCTCCCACCCTCCCTCTCTCTCTCTCTCTTCTTCCCTCTCTCTCCCTCTCTCTCTCTCTCCCACCCTCTCTCTCTCTCTCTCTCTTCTTCTCTCTCTCTCTCTCTCCCACCCTCCCTCTCTCTCTCTCTTCTTCCCTCTCTCTCCCTCCCTCTCTCTCTCTCTCTCTCTCCCTCTGCTCATCGTCCCCTTCTCTCTCTTTCTCTCTCTCTCTCTCTCTCTTGTGTTATATCGTAGAGGAGAGAATATTCTCAATTGATGCGATCACCAACATTTTAACTATCCCCGAGGATGCGATCAGATGTACCAAGTTAGCGAACGACACAATCAACGGCATCATCAACCCGATCCTGCAATTGGAGGCGCCAGATGCCTTCCAACTTACCGATGGCACCATCTACCAAACCACCGGATTTCATGGAGTTACAGATCTCTGTACTAACGTCGAAGTCGCTTTCACTAGTAAGGTTTATTCAGGTCTTGTCGCTATTCGTAAGGACCGTTATTCATAAGGACCGCTATTAAACCTTGGAACTCCCCATATCTCTAGAACCGCTATTCATAATAGGAGAAGAGGGATCACCCTTTTCTCAAATTATGAAAAGCGGTCCTTATGAATAGCGGACCTTATGAATAGCGGAGCGTATAAATTGCGACATTGACCCCCTTTATTACCCTATATACAAAGATAACTTAAAAAAATACCTAAATTAGTGGTTGGTAGTGAAAGTGTAAATCTTGTATATGATACATCGCAAATTCATTATAAACAACCGAAATGTTTTTATGATTATACTTGGTAATGAAATTAGAATAAAATCATTCCAAAAACTGAAAATACCATGAGCCATGTGTAACAAGCAATTTGCAGTATTTGCTAGGTAGTTTTTTTTCCTCGTGATAAAGGTTGATTTTTGTTTTCTTCACCTAACTGCTACGAAAGCATGTATGTGCTTATTAGTAAGCAACCAGGGAACCAGGGTTTGTTAAAGGTCCTCTCCGAGGGATTACGTCATTACGATTAAAGCCTTACCAACGGGCACTAGATAAACATATACTTATTCACATTGAAATTACCTTTTTTATGTCTCATCTCAGATGTAGTCGAACTCCCAGCGCCACACCCAGTTCAGCTCATCCCTGGAACCAGCCTGACCGTTGAGTTCTTCATCGATGCCGCTGGAGGAATCTGGCGCCAGGACAGACTCATTGACTCACTGGCCTTCGTATGTAACGACGCCCTCCCTGACCTTGAGTCCATGGTACCTGATATTGTTGCATTTTCCCAGTACTACCAATCAATATGTCATCAGGTAGACGCAGCTGCCAGGGACCTGAGTTCTTTCGACGTGACAGGATCTTGTAACAACATAACCGCGACGATCACCGCTTTGGTATCTGGAGTAACCGCTGACCGACGTCGCAGACAGGTAGACCCATTCATGGAAGATCCACTCGGCATCATTGAACTCCTTGCGAACACCACCAAAGACCTCTACGGAATCGACGTCAACGATCCTTCAACTATCTGCCCGAATGTCGCTCAGTTCCTGAGGTCGTCTCTGCCTGACCTGCTGTCTCAGTTTGGTGCGGAGATGATGGGTGCTTTCCTAGATCAGGCAGCGCCATTCTGCCAGGACTGGGATGGTCTCCTTTTGACCTTTGGGATAGACAGCTCATCCCCTTTGTATCAAATCCTTCAGAGTGCGTATGAATTTGGAGCACAAGCGGTTGGATATGACAATAGACAAGACATGTGTTCTGCTCTTGACCAAGCACTTGCTGTACAAGGTACCACTTTCAGTGTCAGTTTCATTTTCATTTCGAACAGAATAATCAATATGAACATTATGACAAGAAATGAATTTATATTTATTTTACTCCAGTGTGCAAATCATGTATTGAATAACAAAAGGAATGTATTAAATGTAGTGTAGTTTATATAAACTGCAGAAATATCACCTTTATCAGTTTTTAGCAAAGGGGACATTATTGTGTTGTCTAGAAGAAGAGGAAATTGATTAGTGTTACATGTATGAATTAAGGTGTAAAGTATCATGACTACTGTAAATTTATTTAAAAATTGAAGTTGCATTTTCAAATTAAAAATATTAAAGAAAGTACATACAATGTTAGCCGAAATATAACACGTTCTCAAAAACAATACGTAGTTTACATTCAATTTCATCGATCAGAGTATTTCACCAGAAAGTATTAAAATACGCATTCTAATCTTTTTACTTTATTATCACTGTTTAGCATCCATTGTTGTGCGCTGGTAAAGTCAAGTTTATCTAATTTGTGTTGTGAATTTCTGTGTCACAATAGATGATGGCACAGCGCGGCGAACATTTGCCAGAAATATCATCGAGAACAGCTTTGACGTCTTCACAAGCAGTAGCGTGTGTTCCATGCAAATCAACGGCGTCATCAATGACATCATCGAACCAATCTTTCGTTATTATGTGATCTATCGTTACACTGGATTCATGGGAGTGGAGGGGATATGCAATGCCACGGCGAAAGCATTCACCAGTGAGTCATACTCTAAATTTAAAAAAAAACATGATAACAATAGAGATAATACTAGTACTATATTTACATTTATATTGCACACATATCCAGCCCAGTGGATGCTCAAGGCGCCGGCAAAGAAGTATTATAACCCTTGCACTAAGCAGCTGAAAGCATTCAAGGAATAAATTCTTACCATGTACCCATTTTCTATACCTGGATGGAGAGTGGCAAATGTAGATTAATGTCTTAATTGCTCCCGCGGCGCACCTCGAACAGCTAAATGTTCGATTTGATGATGATGATGATGATTATTATAATGACTTATTGTATAGCGCCGGTATCCCCCTCCGACGGGGGCTCATGATGCTTGCTCTCCAATGTATCACAAATTAAGCGGTTTTTTTTTTTTTTTTTTTTTTTATTTTTATTTATTTTTTTTTTGGGGGGGGGGGCGATTTTGTCAAATTGAGAATTTTCTCCATTATTGTTCATTTATTTATTTTCATCTTTCATCAAAATGATAATCATCCCATGGAACATGATCTAAATACCCTTCTTCTAACTTGGCTCCACAGAGGACCCTGGGAGTACGGTAATGGTCACGGTCTCTGTTGAAGCCATCAACGGTCAAGCCCTGGTCTATACACCTGACCTAGCTGACAGAGAGTCGGCACGCTTCCAGGAGCTGAGGAGACTCTTCTGCGAAGGGGTAAGTCAAATGTGACGATATGTGTCGAATCTGCAGTGGGCAGCTCTCAGTTGTGGCCAGCAGACCGACCCTAACCTGCTGACAGACCTTGATTTGAAACTCTGTGGTGTATTTTGGTTTGTGACGTTGAAACAAAAACTCATTAAGATCGTTACCCATAGGTAAATAATAATATCCGATCGATACAGTATTTTGTGTGTGTGTGTGTGTGGTTACACGAAAAGAGAGGGACGAAGAGAACACTTCATTAAGAGAGAAAATAAGGACTTAACCTTCAACATTTTATCAAACCAAAAATGTGTTTGTTCAAGAAACCTCAAAACTATCATAGCAGGAAGGTCACCCTGAATGTTGTGGAACGAATGTTTCAAGAACATCTTCATTTTAACTGGATGAAATTGTTAAACATGAAGCACACATCGCTCGCTTTCATCTTTTTTTGCCTTTATACACTGTGGCCCGATTTCACAAAGGAGGTTGTCGACAAACTTACGTTTATGTGCGTCATATGACGCGTTTTTACGCGTTTTTACAAACCTAGTTTTGTAAAAGCGCGTCAAATGACGTACATAGCCCTAGGTTTGTCGACAAACCTCTTTTGTGAATTCGGGCCTGTATCTTCAAACACGATCGCATAGACTTTCGAGAATCAATCTTATACAATTCCAATAACCTTGTGGGTTATCACTTGTAAAGTGCAAATATGACAATTCCATATCACATAACCCAAACATGGTGTTTGTATGAACAATGTAGTAGGGTTTAGTCAGTACATGCCCTTGGTTGATTTCTTGAAAAATCTTTTTCGAATCTTTATAAAGACTATCCGTTAATCTCTTCCTCACAGACCAAGAACCATATTACATCTGAGTTGGGACCTGATCTCCAGAGAGTGAACTGTGAGGTCTTAGAGTTTAGACCAGGAAGCGTGGTGGCTGACATGCAGGTCGAGGTGCAAGCCCCCACTCAAGAAGTCGCCGATTCTCTGGCTCAAAATGTGGTCGACCTCGCCGGAAGTGATAACCTGACCCTCTCCGCGAATGGAGAGACACTCTCAGCATCTGCGCTTGCAGTAGCTGGTAAACAATCATCATGATTATGGGTTTTTTTTTTGTCAGCACTGGTTGTCATATATTGATAACTTGTAAAAACCTGTAGAGAAAAGGCCCTCGTTTTATACCGTTTGTTCTAAACCTTACATCATTTGACCTACAGAATTTGTTTCTTCTTCAGAATACCATCCAATTTTCAGCTGGCTAGCTACATCATACGCGTAAGATGTAATCCCCGACGGCCCATATTCTCTTCGCTATCTAGTTTTCAACATAAAAGCAAGATATAATCAAGGACCATAGTAAAACAATCGCCAATCCTATTATTCGTTTATCAATCAAAATAGTTTAGTCATGTTTTGATTGTTAGAGGATTCACACTATGTTCTGAGTGCCACATAAAGTCAAAGACGATGGAGATAATGAATATTGAAGAGTGATCTGGGGGTGGGGTGTTTCACACAGATTCTAACTCGAACTTAACTGTAAGTTGAACTTAACAAATTATGGAGAGCCATTTGTAGCCTTAAAATAAAATATATTCAAAAGCAAAAATTCTAATATTTTAGACTCTTCATAGATTCCACATCAAGGACATGAAATCTCCCATGATAATAGAAAATCAAATATGAATGATTTGAATCAACATTTTAAGCCTTTTAAATGACTTTTACAGAACATTTTCAAAGATGCTAACGGCTGTCCATAATTGTTAAGTCCAACTTAGAGATCAGTTCAACTTAGGATCTTTGTGAAACACCCCCCGAATGATAGCATTCATCGCTATGAAAATGTAGCTATTGATATATCACTACGAAGAGATGTACAAAATCACGAGACGACGAGCTCTTTGTACAGGTTCCCAATATGACCATGATGTTGGGAAGAGATCATTATACATTGTTGAAAAAAATCGTTTTCGGCAACTCACACCAACACGATAAATCTAAAGTTGTCCAATAATTGGTGGTTTAATTGATCTCTCATTCACTAACTATCATCAGCGATGCGTTCGCAAGATTAGTATAATTATGCATAATATTCATAAGATTCGTAACAATATTCATACATACGCTATGGCCCGAATTCACAAAGGAGGTTTGGCGACAAACCTAGGTTTATGTGCGTCATATGATGCGTTTTGATGCGTTTCAGACCAAGGATTAGACAAAACTTGGTCTGAAACGCGACAAAACGCGTCATATGACGCACATAAACCTAGGTTTACGGTCGACAAACATCATTTGTGAATTCGGGCCTATATATCTTTGGCACAGAGCCTGTGGGAAGTATCGTCAACATCACTGTTACTGGTGAGAGCCTGGACGGTGTACAACTTGACTTCACTTCTGAACTAGCCAATAAGGAGTCCGCTCTCTTCATGCAACGTCAGATGTTGTTCTGCGATGGGGTAGGCATTTTGTCTTGTTTTTCTATTACAATATGATTTTTTAATTATTTAAACATTTTTGTGGCTTACACCCAGTAAGTAAGATCGATTGGTCGATCTGTATTGAAAAACAGGTCAGAAAATGTTTAGATCCAGTAGATGCAAGTTCAAGTCCCGCTGCTTCCAAGATTTTTTCTGACTTGTTTTTCAATACAGATCGATCAATCGATCTTATTTACTGGGTGTAAGCCACAAATATGTTTAGATAATTGAAATTTCTCCCAGGAAGCATTACATTTATAACGAATATGAATTTTTGTTCAAAGAAATCAAACGATATATACTCTAAACTCTAAAGATTCTCCAATTTTCATGTCATTTATCGATCATGGATGGATCTTTACCGAAAAGAAAAGGGATATGCATCCGACATTTAGTACTATAATTCTTATTTGTAAGATATGCATGAACGTCATTCAATCCATGCAATTCCAAAAACGGAACAACTAGCTCCTTAACACTGCCAAACGGGAGAAGAGGAATACAAAACCTTCAGGAAATATCGTTGTGTCTGTAAGGGTTTTAAAAAAAATAGTTTCATTTTTGTGTCCTGCCTTTGTTCAGCTCCAATAGTAACTCCTTCTTTTTATTGTCGTGTTTTAAGTGAGGTCTAAAATCTAACGGGGTGATAAGTATGTTTTGTAAGTAAACAATAAATATGTATTAAGTTTGCCCATCGTTTTTCCTTTTGTTTTATCTCTGAAAGATTAAATTTTGCATGGAAAATATTTGATTTAAAAAATAATATTCATTATGTTTCCAAAACAGATGAAAAACTTTGTCATGAGCAACGTAGGGTCATCTCTTCTAAGCATGAACTGCGGTGTTTCTTTGTTTCGTGCTGGCAGCCTGATTGCAGATTTATGGATTGAATTATTCGCTGTCAGTCAAACTAATGCTGATTCCCTTGCTCAAGATGTCACTGACCTAGCATCTGCTACCAACAATACCACCCTCACTGCTGGCGCTGAGTCACTCTCTGTGTCTTCCCTGTCCCTGACAGTCACCACCACAGGTAGGAAACCGCCAGGTCATATTTTCCATCTTTTGGAGGCGTCTTTTAATACTAGGGTTTGCTTGAATATGTTATATAGTCCTCACTGAGCCCTGTAGTACTCGATTTAAATTTTCATCGTTTGTTACATCTTTATTCAAGGCGGTTTCGAACTCTCCATCACTTGACTTCACCCAGATTCATAACTGGGTAAAAATTCGTTGAGTTTGACAAGGTTATGGATGCATACAAACGTGATAAATGATGCGTGGCTGGATTGCTTTCCGGTAGACTGGACAAAGTACACGTTGCGTACCGAATACCGATTGAATCCGATGGCCAGAAAAAGCTTGTTTATGCAAAACGACTGAAAAACAAATATTAACAACCATACACAAGTAGCTATCATTACATTTTTCTCAAAATTAATGTTTTCTTTTGAACAGAGCCATTTGGAAGTATCGTCAACGTTATTGTCACTGGTGAGAGCCTGAATGGTTTGGAACTTGCCTTCACTTCTGACCTAGCCAATCAGAGTTCCACTCTCTTCATGGAACGTCAGACCTTGTTCTGCGAAGGGGTACGAAAATGTCATAATTTTTCTGTTTTAACATTAATTCAGTTGCAAAGAGATAGTTTATACTTTTGAATTGTCCTTCAAGTTGAATGTTGTATGACTATGGGGTTTCAGTTTTCATATTTCAAATATTGGACATGGTCCGTTATCGAAGAGAGAGAGAGGAAAAAAGAAAGTGCAAAAATGCAGAAAATTTGTTATTTTCATGTTCATTGTGTTCACTTAAGACATTGATTTAGAAAATGAGCGATACAAACTTTTATAATAAATCCTTACCTTCCAAAATGCCAGAGAATAATTATTTCATATACTCATGTCGTGTGTTTATCAAAGTCCAAAACAAATTGGTGTCTTTGTAAGTAAATGTGAAAATCAAGGTACCTTTTTTCAATCTTGTGTCTGTTAATGGTATTTCACGAGAGGAAAAAGGGTTGTTATTTGAATATTCTACGTGGATAATTATCTTTTCAAACAGATGAAAAACTTTGTCATGAGCAACGTGGGGTCATCTCTCTTAAGTGTGAACTGCGTGGTTTCAGCGTTTCGTGCTGGCAGCCTGATTGGAGATTTATTGGTGGAAGTATTCGCTGCCAGTCAAGCTGATGCTGACTCTCTTGCACAGGTTCTTACTAATATAGTGTCTGCTACCGACACTACGACCCTTACCGCTGGCGCGGACTCCCTCTTCGTTTCTTCCATGTCTCTGCCAGGCACCACCACAGGTAGGAAGCTTTCAGGGGGGTGTTTCACAAAGATCCTAAGTTGAACTAATCTCTAAGACGGACTTAACAATTATGGAGAGCCATTTGTAGCCTCAAAATAAAATATTTCTAAAAGCAAGAAATTGAAGTATTATAGACTTTTCATAGATTCCACATCGAGAACATGAAATCTCGTTGATGATAGAAAATATGATTGACTTGAATCATGCCTTTTGAAATAACTTTTCCAAAATATTTTCAGTGATGCTAATGGCATTCCATAATTGTTAAGTCCAACTTAGAGATAAGTTCAACTTAGGATCTTTGTGAAACATTCCCCAGGTCTCATTTTACTTTCTTACTCTAGAACATGGTACACCCTTTTGATCTTCAGATAGTAGCTACCTTCGGAACGTTGGTTTGATGTTTAACGTGTACTGATCTTAGCGATACTGGTTTAATATCAATTTTCTTAGTTGCAAGAAAACTTCCAACGTAGTCCATTAAAAGTCTTATAACATAGAGTTCTAGCAAATACTATTAAAATATTATGGCCCACCTTTATTATATGATGTATACGTATACTGTGCACGGAGGAAGAATGCGAAATTCCGAGAAAGCACGAGGGTTATGGCGGCGTCGAAATGATAATAAAAACATACTATCACACACTTAGAAGGCGAGTCTGCTCAATCGTTAAAGCGTTTACCCGTCGAACCAAAGATCGTAGGTTCAAATCCAATGCGTTGGGTGTTAACGTGCCTCTCCCTGTTTCGTGAACGCTCTGTCTGTCGGATAGGATATTTAATGGAGGCCCCGTGTAGAGGAGAGTAACCACATTTGAATAAGAACTCACTGCGTTATTGGTATATGAGTAGGGGCGGGAACCCCCGGTGTAGTGGTTCACCTGCACATCCCTAATCAGTTATACCGGGATGAGATCTGAGAGCCTAGGGTTACAGCGATTCAGTTCTATTTTCCTTTCCTAGGCACCGGTGACGCCAAACACGTAATAATAATTAATATGAACTTTTAGATTCTGCACGACGAGAACGTGGACTGCCCTTTTAAGGCAATGTGACGTCCTTTTAAGGCACTGGCAGTGAGTAAAAGGGCAGTCCACGTTCTCGTCATGCAGAATCTAAAAGTCCCTAGTAACACGCAGGCTGAACCTCAGACATGCCGCAAGCAAGTCTTTCTACACTGTATAAAGTTTGTTTCTTATTGCGTTTAAAGTCAGTTAGTCTTATAATAAATTCATTTGAATAGATTGAATTTCGCTCCAAGAAAAATATTTGCCACATCTGTAAACATTCAACATTGAAGTAAAACGTTTCCAAACCTCCACAGCTCCGGACGCAGAAGAGCCCGATGAGGGCGGTCTCTCGGTCGGGGCACTTGTCGGCATCATCGTAGGTGTAATTTGTTTTCTGATCATCTTCGTCGTGTTGTTTACCTGTTTCCTTATGGCCCAGAACATGAGACGTCTTCAAGCAGAACAGATGATGAGGGCGTAAGTTATTCCACTTTATTCGAATTTCTCCTCAAAATGTCAAAAAAAGCCGTAAGCCCAAGACTTGAGACTCATTTAATGCTTATTACCCTTTCCTTTATTTTTTGATGAAATGAAATTGTATTCATTTTCATATGTTGATTTCCTTTGGATCATTTATTTGAAATTACTATTTTGTTTTCACCTTGAACTCTAGAAATATAAGTAGAGGGTGCTGTTCAGCAGCGGCCAGTCCACCTTTTTACGTGTGAGCGAAACAAATATCCATGGTGAACGAATATTGGACAAATAAATACATTGAATTGAACATTGGATTGAATTAAAATGGAGGTGTCCGTTTGATGAATATTTGGTTGAAGTGCATAAACGGGGAAAAGTAGTGTTTTGACGAGTTTACGCTTATTTTTCAAGTTTGTTTTACGACACGTGTGAGCATACACTAAGTTTAATATTATTTTCAAAACAGAAACATAGAGCGAGGAAAACAAAATGGCGGTTTCTCTCATGATAACGGAACCTACAACACACCACGATACGTGTATGGAGTGAATGCAGGGTATGATCGCTCACATCTTGATCGCAAGATGTATGGATCTAAGCAGGAATGGGAGGTAAGAAATTTAAACACCAGGGGGGTGTTTCACAAAACTTGTCATAAGTGACAATTGACAGTTTTTGTTATAAGCTACTGAAATCCTTGCTTTCGATTGGTTATTCGCAGATTTGTCACTGATTTTTGTCATTTATCATTGAAAAAAGGCTTTGTGAAACGGGCCCTGAACAAAGATTTTCGAAAAATCAACTTTGGGCAATTTCAGTAGCGCTTGTCCATCCCATTATAATGATGTACTCCGTATTACGACTATGGTGTCTATGGACAATTAATAGGTTATTGATATTGTCCTTCAATTGATTTCTCGAAAACCTTTGCGATATTATGTTTCCCGTTCGATAATATTATTTGACCAATGGACCTTCTTAAGAGTAAAATGATTGGAACCGATACATTGCCATGCTGTGTAGTAATGATGTCATTAGTAACTTCCTTTACACTGTGAATTACGGACCAAAGTTGATTGATGTTCTCTAGTACTTACTCCACAAAGATCAAGCTCCATAAATTATGAGTAAAACTGAGATATTTTTATACAAAAGTTATCCCCGTCGTCCATTTCTTGTCTTCTGACCGCCTCCTATATCCCCTCCCCCTATTTTTATTCTGGAACCTCGACTGTCATCTCCACAGACACCCCCTCTCCTCCTCCTCCCCTCTTTCCCTCTTCTCCTCCTCCTTATCTTCTTCCTCTCTCTCTCTCTCTCTCTCTCTCTCTGTCTCTCTCCGTATGTATTCTTTCCTTCCACTCTTCCTATACATCATTTTTGTTTTACCTCTTCCTTCTTTCAATGATGAGTAAAAAAGAACTGTATAGATTTGAGAGAAAAATCAATGATTAACCAATAAGAAATATTAAATGTGTATATTTGTGTCTTATTCGTTATGCTTACAGAAGAACAGCGTCGCACGCAATCCAACTTTCCATAAGTGAATTAATATTGCAGATTCCAGAACTTCCACGGAATCCAGGTCAACGGTACCTTGCTCCGCATCTCCCTCTCTCTCTCTCTCTCTCTCTCTCTCTCTCTCTCTCTCTCTCTCTACCCCTCTCTCTCTCTCTCTCTCTCTCACTCTCTCTCTCACTCTCTCTCTCTTCATACCCCTCTCTCTGTATTAAATTTAATCTAGCCTTCTTATCCTTACAAAAATAGGTTATATCATTGTATATATGTATGTATCTTGCAATGCTTTTTAATAACATACATATCTTAATATGCATAGTTCATTTTTACCTTGTATTTATCATGTTTTACATAAATATATAAGCTGCTTTTTTATATAAATATAAAATCTTGTTTAAATGTACTTATCTGTGATAAGTACATTCATTTTATATTCATTTTATTAATTGTATCTAGAATGTTCGAATCCACGTTATTTGATTATTTACTATTGATTGTGCCAATGATATAAACTTAAATAGATAACCAAATGAAATGAAGCTAGGTTTTAAAAAAAAACTAAAACTCAACGTATTAACTTAGAACTCTGCTCTAATTAAAACTAAGATATGTGAGATATTAAGGATACGCAATAATGATGCTTTTGTGATTGTATAAGTTTGATGTGTGGTATTGTATCTTTGAATGTAAACCATGTATATAACTAATACATGCTCTGATGGGGCAAAGAAGAAAAAGGGATACGCAAAACAAAAGTGATTATCATATAGCTATTTTGGTGTTGGTTTAAATTTAGGGGAAAAAAAACTAATTCCGTTATTATATCGCTAAAGAGTATACCTGTACTTGTAAACTACATGTAAATAGCGTGGTTATGGGTCCGGTTTATGGCATTGGTAATATAGCATTTATATTCGATATTAGATAATTGCATCAAATACTTCTACATCTACTGCAAAGAAGATATTTTGTGATTGGCTACGATTTATAACACTATTGAGCAACTAATGGAAGACAAAGTTACATAGAAAATACAAACAGAATAATCTGTATTGGTTTTTTTTTCTTCTTTTGTAGAGAATAATGTTTGTTTAACTTCGTTTTTCGTTGTTTTTTACAAGAGCCTATGCTATGGTCTAGAACGGGATAAGATTAAATTGAATATAGAAAGAAAAAAAAGCTTGTACTCGGTTTAAATTTCTTGAGTAAAGAATAAGCAGACTGAGGAGGGAAAACGGAAAAGCAAGAACAATACACCAGTTTACAGTTGTATCAGTGCGCATGAGCAGACAGTTGACCTCGGGTCATTGGCCCCGGAACAGGGCCAAATTGGCCCTGTTCCGGGGCCAATAACCTCTGACCTCTGGTATTTATGCGTAAATTAAGATTGCGCCCATGCAAATGATGATATGCGCGCACAACGCAGCGCGCAGGCAGTGATATCATCATAATTTGCATGGGCGCAATCTTAATTTACGCATAAATACATGACCTCTAGGTCATTGGCTTTGTTTAAAATGGCGCACACAACTGTAAACTGGTGTATTGTTAGGAAATGGGGTTGAGAGAGGAAGAGTGAGGGGAAAATAGAAGAAAGAGAGAGAGGGGTTAAGAGTACCAAACATAAGTAAAATGGAGAGATAACGAGAGAGAGAAAATGAGTGGTAGGAAGAGAAAAGGAGATCTGGGAAGAAATAGAGAGAGAGAGAGAGAGAGAGAGCGGGAGAAGGAGAGGGAAAGAGAGAGAGAGCGGGAGAAGGAGAGGGAGAGAGAGAGGGAGAGAGAGAGCGGGAGAAGGAGAAGGAGAGGGAGAGAGAGAGAGAGAGAGAGCGCGCGGGAGAAGGAGAGGGGAAGAAAGGGGGCATGAAGAGAAGCAGCAAGTTAATATAGAGAAATATATATAGAGAGAAATGGAATTAGTGAAAGGAAGAGAACCGAAGAAAAAGGAGATCCGGGAAGAAAAGGAGACTGACGGACAGAATGAGAAGAGGAGAGGTGGGATTATGAGAAACAAAAATAAGTGAAGTGGAGAGAGAGAGAGAGAGAGAGAGAGAGTAGAAAAAATGAGTGAAAGGAAGAGAGAGAAAGAAGATCGGGGAGACAGAGACAGAGACAGAGCGAGAGAGAGAGAGAGAGAGAGAGAGAGAGAGAAGGGGATTAATTAGACGGACATAATTCGAAGGAATTATCATCCGACATTGATGTCGATCATAATATAGCACTTAATAACCTGGTAACTTCCCAAACGAAGAATGGTTTACTCTAGGTCTTGCAATTTGAAACAAAAAAATAGAGTACAACGAGAAGTCAGGTAGAATGAACGTTTTTATTAATGGTCTCCAAGACAACTGTCACTGTTTCCTCGATAACTTAATAAGTTCCCCACAAAATATGATTTCGTCATGCAAATTTCGTCACTCTTATGTAGAGGATAAAGTGCTGTATATCCTCATGCAATTTACCCCCCCCCCCCCTGCTTCCCTCTATTCTCTCTTTCCATCTGTCTCTCTTTCACTCTCTCCCTCAGTTTTTCTCTCTTTCTGTCTCTCTAGCCCTCTCCCCCTCTTGTTTCTCTATTTGTTTTTCTCTCTCTATCTCTGTCTCTGTCTATATATATATCTCTCTCTCTCTCTCTCTTTCTCTATATAGACCAAATCTAAGTATATATATATATATATATATTCTTCTGTCTCTCCCTCTCTCTCTCTCTCTCTCTCTCTCTGTCTCTCTGTCTCTTGGTCCCTCTCTCCCTTCTCCCTCTCCCCTGTCTTCCTCACTACGTCTGTCTTTCTCCCTATTGTGTCCATCCTCACTATCCCTTCCCTCTGTTTTACCATCCTTATTTCTGCCTATAAAGAAAAAGATACAACCACATGATGCTTCCGAAATTGTCAAGTCGCATTTATTATTTAAAAAACAACAACACTATAACCTGATAAAAGATTCAGGGAATAAAAAAGGAACTTAATTTAACTCAGCTCAATAAGTTATAACACTGCATTCAAATTTAAAACTCACAATCAAACATTTACAATCAAACATATATTATCAAATATATTAAAAATAATTTGTTTATAAAGATTTAATAAATATACCTCTCGTTTATTGGAAAATTACGCATGCTTTATTTATCCACTAGTTATAATCTTTGAAAACATTTCTATATGATTATCCATACAGTTTACACTTATGAAACAAATTGTACAGCGACCGTGTTAAAGTTGCTATGATGAACTATGCAAATAACAGTTTAGCCTATTCATTACCAAACATCATCTGATTGAAAAACACAAATTATATTTCACCTTTGTCTTAATTTCTTTTCGCAATATAAAAATATGAAAACGTAATATTAATACCGACTATTATCTATGCACAGGCAAATATTTACATTCCAGCGTTTGATTTATATACAAAAAAGGTCGTATAAAAGTCCACTCTATAATTATTTCAGATCGTCGCCCGTATTTTGCTAGGTATTTCAAGATTATATTTGCTTAAGATAAGACAATCAAGAAACTTCAAATAAGTAAACTTAAAATAATAATTAAAACAAAATTCATGTTGCATATAAAACGTATTATAGTTTATCACACCATACTCGCAGTAGAACATGAGTTAAATTAATATTTATGTACAGTAATAATAAAATTGATCTCTACTCGCATTCATATTGACCATTGTTTCTTATACTCTTTTGACAATGCCATTTAATAATGTCATAGACGACCCCCCCCCCCAAAAAAAAAAAAAAAAAAAAAAAAACATTATCCTGAAAATTGTTAAATTTAAATGGGCAATATTTACAAGAACTCCAACAACAATAACATGAATTTACCATTGATCAATAACTAAGGTCTTACTCAGATCTTAATGGTAAAATATATTGCTAATAAGCTCTATGCTACTGTCTTGCTACAGAATGTAAAGGATTCCTTCACGAGCTCAATCTGGGCTCGCTGTGGTACGAAAAAATAAGACGCTAACGGAACATTCTAAACTGATTCTATGGGATCCGTTATGCGCAAATTTCTTAATGCTTCAAGTATGACTATGGCTGCAAACGTAACATAAATTTGGATAACGATATTACTTCACAAGTTAACAAATAGCCGTAGAATCAAAACGCCGTAGCCAAAATTGATGGTTTGTGTGTAATTCACACGGAGAAGGGTTTTCTACGTAATCAAATTAAACACCAGTTACATTGGAACAGTTTCTCTGTAATAATGATAATAGCCATTTATGTAGCGCCGTCTATATAGACAAATCTATTCCGAGGCGCACACATTAATTATTACCCCGGTCTTATCTGTACTACATGGAAGCCACTGGTAACATTCACAGTGAAAATGTACACATATTTGTACTAGTTTCTGATTACAAAACATATTTATATTTAAAGCCTTATCAATATAAGACCATCTGTATGATGGTACCAAGACACCAAGGTTGAAAGACAAATTAAACTCTTCACCGAAAGCAAAGTAACCTCCTTGTTGACCCGTGGAATTCTGAGTTTCTCATTCCTATAGACTTAACACAGGGACCACCTGGTTAACGTATACAATGGGTTAACCAATGAGGATTGTCGGGGTCCTGAAAACCTCTGCTTTTATCCACCTTACATCGGATGATCCATGTTGAAGTCATAGACATTCTGTGTGGACAAAGATGAAGAAGACAAAACGAAAATGGAAAGGTAAATATTAACGGGAAAATATTATTACTCTGCTAAAACGCTGAGTAGGGCCATCTCTCCGTCTTCCTTTTATAAGTGCGTCTTTATGATTGTAAATGTATATTTGTTGATGTTTTTTAATTGACGGAAAATAAATACAATACAATACAATACAATACAACACCGCTACATCAACGACAATAACGACGTAATAACACTATTGACATTGAATGTATAGGCTTCCTGCGAGTAATTTCAATTTGTAGAGATTTGTTTTATTCCCAAGAAGCTTATGTCCTGATGGCAGACCGATGAATATTAATAAGTCAGAACTTGAGTAAAAAGTACTGTATGTCTAATACCCCATTCACAGTGGTTTTGAAATTTGTAGCGGCGTTGTAGCGGAGCGGCGACACCGCCATAACACCGCTATAAATGCATTCACAGTA